TAGATTTTTATAAAATATTTATAGTCATTTTAGTCTTCATGAATAATAAATAAACAGGATAGCTGGGAGGATATTGAAGAAGAAAAGAAGGATGTAGAAAAACCTGCAGAAGTACCAAAAGCCAAACCAAAACCGAAGAAAGCTCTTATTGAAAGGATCGAAGAACGTGAGGTTAGTTCGTCTTATCAATTTTAATAATTATATAAATTATACAAATACATATTGAATGATTTATTATCTTACATATTTACATAAAGCATTTATTTTGTTCCTTAGAAAAAAGCGAAAGAGGAAGCTGAAAGAAAAGTTAAGGAAAAAGAAGAAGCATTAACGCCAGAAGAGAAAAGAGTAGAACTATTAAGGCGACAGAGGTTACAGGAAGAAGCTGACTTACGATTGGCAATGGAAACATTTGGTTTGTTAAACCTTGTAGATTTTAGTCCGCGTAAACCACATAAGGGGGAAAAAAAATAATGTGTCATTTGCACGTCAAAAGTGTAATTTTTTTTACATATCTCATGCCTTAAGCAAAATCATTATTTAAATCAATTTATGCATGATTTTTACAATTTTTATAAATATCTTTAAACATAAATCATCTAATTTATAATGAAAATGAATTTTTTTTTCAACCATTGAGTCATGCATTTTCATAATAATATAATATATTTTTATGAAATAATATAGTAGATTTTCAAAGAATCAGACTTTTTTAAACTATAATAAATTATATAAAGTCCTGTTTTACACAATGACAACAAATAATATATTATAATAAACTTAAGATATAAAACTAGAGAGAGAGAGAGAAAGAGAAAGAGAGAGAGGGAGAGAGAGAGAGAGAGAGAGAGAGAGAGAGAGAGAGAGAGAGAGAGAGAGAGAGCAATTGGCAATATAAATGATTTATCTTTAATTTATTTGATCAGAAACTAAAATTTCATGAATGCATGTACATATATGTGCATGTTTATTTATATCTTTGTGGTATTGTGTACACACAGAAAAGTATTTATTATTCTCTTATACATAAAGTTGTACAGTATTATATAGATATGATATAAGTATAAAAACAAAGTATTTCATAATAAAAGAAGTGGCACAAACGTGAGTAAAATATTACAATATGATATTCTAAGTACCATTAATCTAAGAGTACGACAAAAAGAACTCAAACAAATTTATGTATAATTGTCAGGAACTGTACTAGGGACAGTTATATATACACAAACGTATACACTCAAGTTTACTACAAATTTTATGGTACTGAACAAATACTGTTATGTATTTTAATAAAAGTTGCTATTCTATGCAAATTATTGTGTTCATGTTAGTTTGCAACCTTTTATCTTGTTGTTAGTCTCCTGTACTGTTCCTGATTAGTTATGTGTGTACACACGCGCGTGCAACTCACGCGCAAGCGCGTGTATGTAATGTGTGTGCGTACGACCGTACAAGCGGCATATATTATAAGATTAAGAATTTTATTTAAAGTATTCGAAATAATTACTTCCAAGTAACTCTTATAAAATGGATTCTTTTTAGTTTTAAATGTTACAATTGCATATAGGTATTATTAATTATTAAATATAACTATTTTGAATCTAATTTCATGAACAAGTGTAATTTAGATACATATTCTTTTATTAGAAAAATTTTATTTTGTACAATAATAAGTAAATCTATGAAACTGTTATATATGTCACAAGCCTCATATAATCAATATGTGTTTATGTTTTGTATATTATATGTTCTCTAAAGAATGTATATTTCTTTAAAAACACAATTACTATATTATATTGTATTTTACAGGTGTAACTGAAGAATCATCAACAGGACTGGATGCTATGAATCCTAACACAAAAGAAGAATTTGAACAATTTGGTACTGCGCTTTCACAGAAAATCAACCAATTTAAAAAACATTCTGAATTTCCACCATTTGCAGAAGAACTTATAAAGTCCATTGCCCTAAATTGTTAGTATATTTATGTTATTTATATATTACCTTGACCAATAATATATTCAATAATATAATTCTTTTCTAGTATCATCAAATGCTTTGAAGAAAGTCAAGACTATGGTGGATAATTTATTAATAGAAAAACAAAAATTAGAAAAAGGAGAAAAACCTAAAAAAGCTAAAGGAAAGGGTAAAGCAAAACTTAAAATTGAAGGAGAAAATACCATGTTAAGCGAGTATAGTGATTATGTATATGACGATTATGACGATTTTATGTAGCGACTTTTCATATACATAAGTATTCTAGTCGCCTAAATACATACTGAAGGATATTAACTTGCAGATTTATACAGAAAGTTTATAATTATACTTTTTGCATATACTATTATATGCAAAATGTATACGCAGATTGATCTGCATTCTTAATATTATCTGCATACGACTTAACAGGAATCAGGAGAGAGTGTTAGAGTTACATTACTATATCTATAATCTGTTGAAACGGATTTTTTTTGTATGATTACATTTACTTGCACCATTGAGTTACTATAAAATATTTTCTATATTCCAATTCATATAAGGAATTTGTCTGCATATTTATATTATATGATTAACAAATATTAATATAGTTAAGTTATAAACATTTATACCGAAAAATAATAATTCTAATTTTTTATTAATCTAAATATATGTATGTGACCAAGTTTTTTAAATTTAATATTAAACTGCTTTTTTATTACATCATAGTTTATTGTTAAATACCGATAGCCGAAAATACGTATGTTGTATATTATGATTTTCTTTTATCTAAAATACAACGAATAAATATTCAAATTTTTCTTTAATTGTACTTATTGAATTTGAATTGATTACTATATGTAATTCAAACGTGATATGACATCATATAATATTTTATAAGCAGTTTTTTAATCTAGTATATATTATATTTGTTATCATATATATTATATATCCTATACTAATTATGCAGACTATTCCATAATGATTGGATATAATTAAACAAATATGTAGTGCTCAAATTTTATTAATAGATAATTATTCTATTATCTATCCATGAACATAACATTGGACAAACTTTTGTTTTTATTTAATATATCTTTAGCTGTTTAAAATGTCTTCAATATGCTTACATAGCTGCAGTGCACAGCTATTATGTAACTGCATTATGGAAGTTTTATATAACATGTCATACATACATACGCATATGCATACTTCAATTAATAATTAAAAGTTGGTTTTGAAAAAGAGTATATTCCTAAATAAAGGTTGACTGTAAATAATTTTTGTTGCTATTTTGATTTTCTACGTAGATATACATTTTTTTTTTATTTTCTTAGGTATAACAAACTTATGAGATAGCATAGATTTTATAATAAATCAATGAATATATAAGAAATACATTTTTTCTACGATACAATATATGAACTTAATCCAAAAAAGATATTGAGAGAAGAGAAGGAATGTTAAAATACTAACAATTAAATAAGTCAAACAAGTTTTTGATTATTATACTTCATAGCCGATATTTATTTTATTTATTTTATGAAATGTATGTGAGAAAGAGCACTTCCTTTTTTAATAAATAGGTATTAGTGGGAAGGTTGGACTTAGGGCCTGGATAGTTTAATGGCCTAGACCATTCCTATGCTGTATTTAATAAACTAGGTTGACTGCTCTTATAGGGACGTATACAGGTTTGATCCCAATCATTACGTTTTCGATTCCGTGAGGAGGGACATGATGAAAAAGTCCAGACCACCTGAGGATCCAACTTTTTCCAAGAATCATATATGTATTTCTAGTTTCTGTGTCGTATTCATATTATGAAGTTACATACAAAATTGTAATTATTTGCTTAAGAGTAATCATTTAGCTATAGCATTTATTTAATTGCATGATAATGCTAATAACGAAGTGTTTATTATTTCTGGTGATATCCATCTATCGGTAATAAGTTGAAGTTTCACTTGCTACGCTATAAACATTTTCTTGAACTATATCCAGTTGATAAATACATTCTCTATCAGTGATTGTATTTACATCGTACATTTCGTTACAAATATTTATGTAAATCATCAATTCAATTTATAGTTACATATTAGATAAGATAAAAATTAGAGAATATCTTTAATTAATATAAAACTTTCCATTATCATGATATATTTTTTTTTGAAATAGATAATTATGAATCATATGACGGATTGAGAATCATAGTGGTATCACTCTTGTGCTGTTTCTCATAAAATAGTGTTTTGCATTTATTATTTAAAAATAACTCCATACATATATTGAAATTGTAAAAACACATCTGTAGATTTAGAAACTAATTAAAAATATCTGTGTGCGAAAATTGAAGTATAAAAAAAGGATTTTATACAAACTCAAAACGAATGAATCAATTAAGATTGACTTACACCACTATGTTTCTAAATATTTTGGTTAATAAAAATAAGTACAGTGGTATTTTTAAGAATCGAAGCTTTTTTATTAATTTCTTTTTCACGAATATATTTCTTATTTGTTGATATCGAAAAACAATAGAAAAAACATTAATATTTAACATACTACATTATAGCAGAACTGTTCATTTCTACATACAATCTTTTATTTCGCCATCAAAAAGTAGACCATAATCTCGTACTTCTCTAAAACTTTTAATAGCATTGACAAAGGAATGATAAGGCATATTAATGGGATATAATTAAATTAATGATAAAAACTGAAACACTTTGAATCGCTTCGAATTTGTTTCATTGCTTTCAATGACAAATTCGAATCACATCGATTCTGATTTGAAATTTAAAAAGTATTGATAAATCTGGAATCTTTTATTAATTTCTTCTCAAATATTATAATATGAGTCCATTATCGTTCGAGCAACAAAATTGACAAAAAAGTCTCGAGACATTTCGACTTAACTAAAGTTTCGAAATTTATATCAACAATTTTAAAGTTTCGAATCATTTTCAAAGCGTTCAAAGTGTTTTAGATCCCATCATTAAATATACTTTAATAGATATCCCTTTTTTTAAATAATTTATTTCACGTAGTCCATTATAGAGTTTCTCTTAAACAATTTTGTTCGAACGGTTAAATTCGACTGTTGTATTTGATTTTCAGTTTACTGAACGGAATGTATATATTTTGTAATGAAGTCATTTTATTTTTAATAACTATTAATCATTACCTTCATCATCTTCGACATTACCTTCCTTTTAATTATGGTTTTTCTAAAATTTATATTAAATATTATTCTAATGTATTTTTATAATGATAAATTTGTTATCGCTATATACCAATTATCGGAAACAAAATTTAATAGGTTTTCAAAAAATGTACATCGCAAAGGTGCGTATCCACTTGTTATGTACCCTCGTCATTACATACTATCATTGCATTTCGTATGAAAACAAAGGATATGACCTTTCGCGTGAAGTAAAGTTTCACTCAATTGTATGATTCTAAAAGATTCTTTTGATATGACGATGAAAAACCGACAAATGACCCATCGGTTTCATTGACGTATCTTCATATCACATTTTGATACTCAACGCTTGTTCATTCCATTGATACGGTTGAGAAAAATGATACATGAGGATACGCAACAAGTGGATACGCACCTTAAGACTATAATATTAGGGGGACCGGAAAGTAATGTCGTTTCTGCGCATGTCGATATTTGATTGTCATTTGTCAGTTTATTGTGTACTTCGATTTATTCGATTTATCGAATTTAAGAAAGCGACATTACTTTCCGGTCCCCCTATATAATCTGTTATAAACATTTGGATTCCTGGTATTGGTTGGTCATCAGGAGTATGCTTAAGGCAGGCGTACACAACCGATAAAATAGTGTCAGTATTGGCGGCGATATCGGTATTACAATACACGATGTATCGGATGTACATATGATCTACCGACATTATCGGGATAATCACGTAATGTCAACGTGATATTGAAATAATGCCGACGATCTCGAAAATATATTAATATCGATGAGTAGTGCAAGTGCGTCTCAACCAACTATATATGAATCATATACTAAAAATATACATTAATCGACGTGTATATATGTAATAATATTACGCATGTGTACAATTAATAAAAAATTATAACCATTCCCATTTCTATCATTAGAAAGGAATTGTATAAAGAATCTAATAATCTTAAGTTTTATTACAATGATTAAAACATTTGTATTTTTTGATATTGAAACAACAGGTCTTATTAAGGGCAATAAAATGCCTAGAATTACAGAATTTTCATTTGTAGCTGTAACTCGAGACAATATATGTCTCAATAAAAATAAAATTCCAAGAGTTTTACAAACTCTTACTGTACCAGTTAATCCTAATACATCTATTCCTCAGCATGTAGAGATTTTAACAGGTAAGTGATACTAAAATTTTTTTTTAAATATAATCTTTAATATATATCTAACGTTTGTACTTTTAAATAGAATTAAATAATGAATGTTTACGAAATGTATCTTCATTTAATCATAAAATTTATAATATGATTAATATTTTCCTTGATACATTAACGAAACCAATATGTTTCGTGGCTCATAATGGAAATAGATTTGATTACCCCATTTTTTTGTGGGAATTAAAATGCCTTAATAAGGTATGTTTTTCTTTTCTATTCTTATTTGTTTCATTACCTTTCTATATTAAAAAATTGTTTTATTTATAATTCTACGTATTGTTTATATGATTAGATATAATAAGGGAAATATTGAAATAGATCTCATTCTCATTTAAGGATTTAGCAGAAGATATTCTATGTGTAGATACATTACTCTTATTCAAAGATTACTTTACGAATGTTAGTTATATAGAAGATACTGAAATCTTAAATATGGAAAACCACCTGGAAAAAGTTAATATACTCCAAAAACCAAACAATTTTAAATTAATAACAATATATGAACATTTATTAAAAGTCCCAGCAAAAAACAATCATATAGCACAAGGTGATTGTATTAATATGCTACATTGTGCTAATTATATTGCAGAATACTTTGTGGAATGGTGCGATAAAAATGCATTACCATTATATACAATGAAATGAAAATAATGAAAAGTATTCTAAAGAATTATAATTTTATAATATCTATATTATATTATTATTATTATTATTATTATTATTATACAGATCAATATTATTATGTAAATATAAATTTTATTATTATTTTAAAAGTTATCGTTAATAGTATATAACTTTCGCTCTTTTATATAAAATAATTATAATATTATATATTGTGTATATAGATGAAACTTATAATTTTTTAAAAACTCGTTTTATGAGAGAAACTTCATATTAAATATAATCATTAAAGTATCATGCACAAATTCTTCTCATCGTCCTTTGTTTCTAAGGGTTCCTTATTTAGCTCAGAAACTAATTCTTTGTATTCTTCTGGATTTACTAAAAGTATAACAAATTAATTGAAATATAACTTTCAATTAGTTCATTTTTTCAAAAATTATTATTCATAACAATAAAGAGAAACAGTTGAATAAAAACCTGAGATAAGTTCATTTATTAATCTGGATGTATTAAACTTACAGATATAGAAAGCAATGATATATGGATCATCTTTTATAGATGTATAAATTTTGTTAATGATTCTTCCCAATCGATTTGAAATATTTGTTATTTCTTCAGGATTGAGATTGCACAATAGATTAAGTTCTTTGTTCCAGTAATAAGGTAAGTATTTATTAATCAGAGTTGTATGCATGTATGTTAACATCTATAAGTATGATATTATTCCATTATTTGATTAAGATTATATTTAGTAGAAGTAGAATGAAAATAAATAAAATAATAGTACTGTTTAACTGCAAACAAATGCAGTCGCTCGACATGATACAAAATTTGCAATCAAACAGTTAATTATTCAAAAATTTGTATAACTATATAAATACCTCCATAAACGAAAGTGTATACGATATATTTCCAAAATTTTTGTTATACAGCAATTGTCTTAAAGCTATTGTTTCTATATAGTAACTAGCAATATTTTTCCAATTTTCGGTATCTCTTAATTTCTGAAAAGATAATATCATTTCATTAAAGTTCACATATATCATATCTATATATTTTTTTATAGTTTATATTTAAGTTTATATAATATAGTAATATATAGTAATATATATAGTAATATATATATCAAATACTTTCATCAATCTTATTATTGGTTTAATTTGTCCATTTTTAGATAGAATTTCTTTTTCTTGTTCATAAAAACATGCTCTCCAACAGCTGTGTCTTATTTTAAAGTTTGTTTGAAAACATTTTGGTACAGCAAGCCAATTTTGTTTCTGAAAATATAAAATATTATTAATTGCTTTAAAAATATAAAATGATACCATTATGTATATGTATACACAACATCTATATAAACAGTTTTTTAAATACCAAATTATAATTTATGAATGGTACACTTTTTGAAAATTCTAGCACTGGTACTAAATCAACGTTTATTGTTTTGCCATTTGGAAGTTCTACTTCAAATGTAAATGCTGGGCCACTTTTGGTTATTCTTATCTATAATGTATAAAATTTTCAATTTATATATAAATATTTTAACGTTTAAATTATTTAAGAACTATTTACATACCATATATATAGTATTTTGTATGTTAAATAAATATTTATTTTTTATCAGTGGTAATTTTTGTATAGTGTTACTTAAAATGCCTTCCATCCAACCACGGAATTTTTTTTGATCAATATACATATCCTGATCAAGTAAACTTTTTAATACTCTAATAACAGAATAAAATAAATAAATTAAATTATAATAATATCTTTTATGTAATGAAAATCATATATAAAATATAGTAACTATTTTGAAGAACGTCATATTGTTACAAAATGTTAGTAATTTTTTAGATCAATTTACAATTTGCAATTATTTTTTATATTGATCCAATTAAAAAATGTATAATTTATTATTTATTAATACTATACATCTGATATATAATAATATTATATAGAATACTAGCACTATCTGATTAAATTTAATTTATAACTTATCTTACCTATCTGTTTTCACATCACAAGTTAACTCATTTTGTTTTAAGCCAGAATATATTTTAATAAAACCTGGATGTTCACATAGTTCTATCTAATAATAATAAAATATTTAGAGAACTTAAAACACTTAAAGAAAATGAAGGATAAATAAGTAATGTATTATATAAATTAGAAGTATATTTCTAATATATTAATAAAATAAAGTATATCTAAAAAATAAAAAAATGTATTTTTTTATGAATGAATTTAAATAATAGGAATAATTAAAAAACTATCTTACTTCCACAAACTCATAATTAATGGGTAGTTTAATTATTATATTTATATCAAATTCTTCAGGTACACCAATTTTTGTACCTTTATAGTAACTACCAACAAATAATATTCTTTTAAATACTTTCTTGAAAAAAGCACCTTCTTTCATTTTTTCAAGTATTCCATCAATGACCTATTCATGTTTAATTTTAAAAAATTATATGTAAGACCATAATAAATATTATATATATAAATGTTTATAATATAATATATATAATATATATAAAAAAATTATTTCTTAAAAAAAAATATATATATGCATGTATACATTAAAAAGAATCTACATAAATATATATTACATTTATGTGAAATTTTATACCTGGTGTAAATATTCGTTAGTTGCTTTTTTTTCATAGTTTGGCAAAGACACAAATTTTTTGTTTATAGCATTTAATACTCTATCATTAACAAAATATTTCTTTTTTTCTTCTGGTATATAATTATCCTATATAAAAAGGAAACAAATACTAAGCATATAAAGAATACATTAAAGAGAATCTTAATTTTTAAAACTTACATATAAGATTACAATATACATTATTAACACACGATATATATAATTATATAATATATAGTTAATATATATATGAGAATTTTATACAGAAAGTAAATAACATCTATAAGTATTTATTATATACAAATTTATAATATATGTTCGTAAATACTAGTCAATAAATAATACAAACCTCCATTATGATTATTATTATTATCATAAGAGGTGTATGAATAATTTATGTTTTTATTGGAGGGCAAATTTTTAAGTAAAGAGTAGTAGTATAGTATTTACTATTGCATCATTATATTAATATTTTTATTCTTAGTGTAAACATAGATCCAGGTATAAGCACTGCAAAAATACATAATACATAGACATTATTTTATAGAGAATAGATACATTTTAACTTACATATTATTCATATATACATATATATACCACAGTATCGATTATAATTATCTCTTATTAATTGCAATAGCTCCACACACAAGGATTATATGAAAGTTACGGTTTTTAAAATATAAATTGTAAATATTTTATATTTTAAAGATTTCTCTATATACACTGAACAATGCACTTTATGAAGTTTTATGACACTTTCAGAAGTGATATTTATTTGTAAAGTTCCTGATACTTTCTGATATCTCTATCACGATATGAAATTGTTAATAAATTAAAAAATATATATCAGTATGAAAGATAAGATATACATTTTTTAATGTAAGATTACGTTATTTAAATATAAATAACGTAAATAAAATAAAAATTTTTGTAAATAAAATTTTATTTTATTTGCATTATTCATTTGCGTTAATTTTATTTTATTTTAAAATCTTGATAACTTGACCGATTTTGGTGAACAAGGTCTCATTTTAAAGACGAAGATTTAGTATTATGCACAAATACAAAGCTTTTTCAAAAGTCCGCCGAGAGCGCGCTGTAGATTAAACTTTGGTCTTTACAATAAGACCTTGTTTATAAAAATTGGTCGAGAATTAATTGTGTTTATCCTGATGGCGTAAACGCTGTTTTCGACATTTTTCGCGAAGAAAACGTTTAGTATTGTGGCATCCCCTGAAATTTGCGGCAAAAAAGATGAAGCTCCTACTCTACCCTCACTTCTGATTTTCATATCACTCTTGAATGGTGTATGTTTTATGTACGTGAAATAGCGATTGTTGCTTGGTGTTATGTAAATAGCTAATGTTCAGATTTTTTTAACACTTTACCGACCGATAACCTATTAATCGGCTTTTTGTTGCCGATGCTTACCGACCGATAGCCTATTAATCGGCTTTTTGTTTCAATACCTTCGATATCTTCGATATCATGAAATAAAACATTTTATTAAATCTAATTATCCTATAATATATCCTATAATAACAGAAAGCGGACAATTCTATCTGGGCATACGAAACGCACAGATACTTCCGTGCGAAGATCTAGACCGAAGAACAGCTGGCGCCAGGGAGAATCTGCGGCTGAGTGGCCGGTCGGACGTGCGTATGCTCTTGAACCGCTAACGGTCGGTAAAGTGTTAACACTTTAACCAAATCCAAAAAAATGAATTTCACAATATTCATATGAAGAAGCTATGGTAACTCATTCCATCACTTTAATAAACTTTGGCCATATTATTCTATGGCAAAAGAGAATTTCTATGGCATAAGAAAATACATGTCCAATCGTTTATAATAAGATATCTAAAGGGAATTTCTAAATTAATGTTAATTTTGGAAAAATTTGTAGTTTTAGATTTTATTGACTGATAAGATAAAGATACAAATAATGTATATAGTACATATGTATGTATATAGTTCATTAACAAGTATCTGTATTTGTAATTCCAGCAATTGTAGGTCCAAGGTAAATAATTTCGGTAGTTTCTTTTTAATTGTATCAATGTAAATGAAAATAATGAATTAATTTACTTTTTTTCCTTATTTGATAATTTAGTAAGATATTACTATCCAATTTCTTATATTTATTTTTTCTAATGATGGCTGATGTGAATTTTGCGGTGATATTTGCTAGATAGGACACAGGAACAGTATAATTTTATTCGATGACAAATGCATATAAAATATATACATTTATCGATTATTTTTCAAAAATTAATAATTAATGGACATATATATCATATATTATTTTTAATAAAGATCAAGATGAATTTGTTTTCACATCATCTACGAGATTTTTCTCCCAGTACTATTTTTTATGGTTTCCTTTGTAGGACTTCACTTCATATTATTACTACTTTTACTAATATTAAAATGTAATGTAATAATATAGTAATAAAAACAGTAATAAGAAGAAACAGAAGAATATACTTATATTGTATACATCATGACACATATGATGACAGTAACTTATGATAACAAAAGAAGGAAAAATATATCATTTTACGTGATGGTTTGGAGCGCGAATTCTCAACAAATCGTGCCCTTGATAATTTTGACAAATGACTGCCTATCTAATATGATATATAAGGAAAAATACGAAACGTTTCTTTTGTTTTCGTCCGCTAATGTTTCTTCGCTTAATACCTTATGATCGTAATGTATTTGTTTCCATATTGTTTCTTACTCATGATCGGTCGAAGCTAATTGTTTTTACTATTGTAATATAAAATGTAAAATAATATCTAGATGTATATAAATAATATTTAAGTATATTTTTATTATTATATTATATTATATTATTATTATTATTATTATTATTATTATCATCAGTAATAGCATATTATTAATAGTAGTAGTAATAGTCGAAGTCGTGTAGAGTGGAAATAGGTAGTGTGGAAATGAATAAATTTATATAAAAATAATATAATATATAAGTATTCACTAATTATTTTTACAAAAATATTGAACAAATTCTTATTTTTGTTGCAGATTTATATACTAATTCTTATATGTCAATTATATTAATTATTTTATATGTATTTATCGTAAACAAATGCGTACTGATACTATATCTAGCACGGATCATTGCGATACTGCACACTACTATCAAAAAAAAATGTACATGAGAGATTAAAAAGTGATATGAGAAATATGATTAAAAAGTGCATTCACAATCTATTAAACTTACTCTACTTACCGAACCAATTGTTATATGAGGAATACCAACAAGCTTATACACCGATATGATAGAGGCATGGTGGGGTCAGCGTTCCCCGCTTGAATTCGTAGTTCATATTTTGTCCATACCTTCGGTCAACACACAAAAAGAAGTTAACACGCTTTGAACAAAAAGTGGTAAACAGCCTTAATACATATATAGTTAAGAAACTAAAGAGTAAATGTTTATTGTTACAATTATAAAATATCTAATTTCCGATAAACTTAATCAGGTCTGCTACATTAAAATAAATTTTCATTTAGTAATTACCGTATAGTCGAATATGACTTTTATAATGTATGAAATCAAAATTTTATAACACATTTCAAATATCTGTAAGGAAAGTTTTCAATATCGCTTTTAATTGGATAACTTAAAATATCCAATAACCAATCAATGTGTTTTTACGGAAATTTTATCTTTAACAACGAACATATTTCTGATTAGCTAATATTTCAATGTTATATATCGTTCAACTGGCTTGACCTATGTTTGTTTCTTTTTATTAAAATAGATTTTATATCATCCAATGACGAATACAAAAGTATATGTAAACTGAGCTAAAGAGAGGGAGCGACGATACCAAGCTAGGAGTTAACTAACGGCATACAAATGAAAGCGTGACGGTGAGTACGTTGCAGTACATACGTTGCGTTTCAACAGCGCAAGAAGAATAATGTCGTTGGAAGGACAAAGTAATTTGTGTTTTTGAAAAAAAAAAACAAAAAAAAAAAAAAAAGAATAAAAAAAATAAAAATACATTCAATATTAACGCTCTCCTTTTACCAATAATTTATTAGCAAAAATGGAAGCGAACTATCAAGCGACGCCAAGTCCAGCACGAACTTTGACAGGTGAATACAACTGTTTTTCTATTCGTAAATGTCAAAGCAAATGTCTGTTTTTAATCTTTAAAAAAATAATCCTTAAAAAATTTGTATAACGGTAAAATATTATATAGTTTATATTTAATAAAAATAATAGCAATGTAGTAATAGTAATAATAACTAGTATCAATATAATATATGGTTTTCTTATTGTACATATAATTAATTTTTTAAATTATTAAAAAATTTTATTGAGTTTAATTGCGAAATGTTATCATAAAAAAACTTTGAACAGATAAATAATTTACTTTGTCTTTTAATTATTTAATACTATTTTTAGTGTAATTAATAATAATCAAAGATTATTTGTGCAATAGGAATGAACAATGAGACTGAAGATCCGTATCCAAGTTTATCCGATTATCATGATTATGAACCAAATTTGGAGTTTGATGACACAGAACTACAGGCATCTTCAAATAATGGTAATACACGAAAACATACATATTTATTTTATAAGTTATTAAAAATATTTCTAATAAATATTTGCTATAATTTATATATAATTTTATAAATTTTCAGCTGTACAGCTTTTAGAAGCAAAGCTAGATTTGATTAACAGTGGTGCAGTAGTGACAGGCATAGATTATTTGGAGAGTCCAGTAAGCGATGGAACGATTGAAGAGAATTTTGAAGAAGCTCTAGTAGATGCTCCAGTTATAGAATCTGGTGTGTGACCTTTTATCTACTGTTAGTAGCCACTAAATGTCATGGCATTTGGTGGAACATAGCAGGTGAATCATGAAGATTGCTGTATAGTTTGTTACTGCATGGTATAATGATGGAGAAAGATACGCATTAATAACAAATTAGATTCAATTTTCTTGATTCTATATATTGTGTTTAAATGTGATTACTAAATTGCCTTAGAGTTCATGAAAATTACTACAAATAATTATATATTTTTATATTCTTTTAAAACTATGATTTGTTTATAATGAGCAGCTGATGACCTAGCAGCACTAGAAGGAGAACTAGCCGATGAAGAAGATTACCTTGATATATCGAGGCATGGTATTGTAGAAGTTGTAGGAGATGACAGTGCTGGTCGTAAAATAATAGTAGTATCAGCCTGTAAATTGCCTCCTATTGGAAAAGAAGCTTTTAACCATGCCAAACTCCTCAGGTTTGTTCAAGAAATTTAATATTTTATATGCCATTGTAATATTAAATGGAGCAAGGTAGTGCATTTTTAAGCTTTACAAATTTTTCATTACTTATTATTATACATATTATATTTAAATTACATAATATTACTTATATTGAAATAATAAAATGAAATTCACATTGCCATTATAAGTACTACTATTAAAGAAATCTGCTTTAATTCATTTATTTCCACAATGGACTACATTAATACAAGAAGCTCGCATCTGCCACATTCCAAAATAATTAATTGCAAACTAAAATGCTGCTTTTAAACACTAAATTGAGAATAAATTACAGGTACAAGTACCTTTGCAACCATTTTTTAACCCTTGAACCGCGGATTTAACTATATGGTATTTCTCAGAACAACCGTGGATCGCGCTAGTTGGCATTGTTATTTCTTGTGAAAACACGTGTCGTCCAAAGTAAGTAAAGATTTTATACTTCACGCATTTGTATTTTTATGTCACTACTATAAAATCAAATTATGTTATTGAAAATTGAGATGACACAGTTTTATATCAATCAAGAGTATGCATTGATTAAAAAGACCTTGCGGTTTAAGGGTTAAGCATACCTTTTCTCCTTTCCTGGTAGGAATTAAAGTACTAAGGCAGATTTAAAGTTCCTATTTTTATGGAAAAAAAAAGAAAGAAAAAAAATCTTTTAACATATATTTTATTTTATAGGTATTTGATGCATACATTAGACAAATTTGTAGAACAGGATTATAGTCTTGTTTATTTCCATTATGGCCTAACTTCAAAAAATAAGCCACCACTCTCTTGGTTATGGCAGGCATATAAAGCCTTTGATAGGAAATATAAAAAGAATCTCAAAGCACTTTACTTAGTCCATCCAACCAATTTTATTAGAATTGTCTGGCAGATCTTTAAACCAGCTATTAGGTAATCATGAATTTAATAATTTTAATGTAGTAAGATAATTTTTAATATATGTATTCAAATAATATTACATTTATTTTACTGTAGTGCAAAGTTTGGTCGTAAAATGATGTATGTTAATTATTTAGAAGAACTAGCACAATATATTAATCTCGATCAACTCATTATACCTTCACAAGTACTACAGTAAGTACCATTATGTTTAATATATAAAAATAGTAAAAATTCTCTCTCTCTCTAAAAATGATTAATGTGGATAGTTTATATTTTATTGTAAAAATAACATATAATGTATTTAAAAGAATTATGTGAATATTTTTAGGCACAATGAACAACTTATAAGCAAAAATAAAAAAAGTTTACCAACTAGTCCACCTCAAAGTACAGTAGCTACACCAGTTGGTACAACACAATTTGGTGCAAGTTTAAGTTTTATTAAAGAAAATAATAATGGTGATCCAATACCACCTATAATAAAACAATGTATTGAGTTTCTAAATTGTCCAGATGGTATGTTTGTAATTATTATTTATTAACAAAGAATTTTTTGAATTGATATACTTTTTGAGAATATTCGATCTATATTCATAAGTATAATTTTTTTTACAGCTCTAGAAACAGAGGGAATATTCAGAAGATCTGCTAATGTAGGAATAATTAGAAAATTACAACATGACTGTAATCAAGGTTTGCAAGCAGACTTTAAAGGAGATCCTCATATAGCAGCAGTTCTTCTAAAAACATTTCTTCATGAATTAGATGAACCCCTTATGACATATGAATTATATGATGAAATAACACAATTTCAAAGTAAGAATGAAATCCTTAGTAATCATTAGCATGTTATTCCACTATAAATACTAATATGAGTTTATTTATAGCATTATCAAAAGATGAAAGACCACGTAGAGTAAAAATATTAGTCCTCGAAAAACTTCCTGAAGACAATTATCATCTTTTAAAATATATAGTACAATTTTTATCAAAGGTAATATAATAACTAATTATATGTATATAATTATTTTCTTTATTTAATCAATATTTACTAATAGGTAATAGACAGAAGTGATTTAAATAAAATGACATCAAGTAATCTAGCAGTGGTATTTGGCCCAAATCTCGTTAGAGCACCTCTGTCACGTGGAATGTCTCTTTCTGCGATAGGACCTATTAATCAGTTTATAGACTTTCTATTTACATTTCAAGATAAGATATTCATCATTTAATTTGAAACAATGGGTGATAGCCAAAGGTCTGATATCCAAACCAAATTAATAATGATTGTGTAAATCTGCGCATGTATGTGAACTGCGTGCTTGTACATGCGTGTTTTTAGTGAGATTTAAGTATGGCTGTTCAATTTAATATTATAAAGCAAGATATTTAAAATACTTTGTACCACAATTCCATGAAGATTTTTTAGAAATGTTAGCACAACAAATAACACTTTATATATATAACTGAATTACTTTAATATTATATTAAAGCATATTAAAAGCATTAATCTAGCGATACTAAAACAATAATATTATATCTATTGCTGCATTGATAATTAACTTTTCACTAATTTTTTGATTAATTAAAATTTTATATCACAAAATCATATCTATGAAAATGATATGATGGTAAAACATAGGAAACTTCATTGCATTATGAAGTACAATTAGCACAATAATCTCTTATTTACACTTACAATACAATCTTCAAAAGAATATATTTATCATTCATAATAAATTAATATTGTTAAATATTAAATTGCCAGTCTGGATAATGTATATAATTATATGACTTCATAATCATATACCAAAGATTCAAGGAAATGTTAGATATTATATGTAAAATGTAGACATATATTTAGACTAAGTATAATATAATAAATGTGCGTGTGATTTGTAAAAGAGTAATAACGTACAGGATGCCTTGATTATCTAATTTTAGAATATCACTTCTCGATTTGTAAAATATAATTATACAAGTATAGTTAATTAAAAACAATCTAACAATATGGTGCTTTTCATAAATCTAGGTTACAATTCAGTCAGTATATTTACTTTTCCATTTCTTACATATTTAATTTTTTTTTGTAAAGCATTACTATATTTATTTTTACAATTTTCTTAATAAATGTTATAAGATCAATATTTAAAAAGATTTACTTAGTTTTATAAAATTTATTAAACATTATAATAATAGTTTATTTATTTAACATTATAATACATCAAATTACATACAGCAATTTTCTCTAAATCAATGTCACGAAATAGAAATGATAAAGTAGATCTTTAATAATATCAAGCATCCTGTTATCATAATTACATATGTACAAATTGAATAAATTAATCGTGTAAATTTATTATCTTATTGAACAGTACTGATTTGTAACGAAATTTTAAGAAATCAATAGAAAGTATACATAAAAAAAAATGCTTACAAACAATCATGAATTATTGTTTGTGTTTCTTACTTTATATTTGACCATCTCATCAGTCTTTGGTGTAAAAGTATTATAATCTTTTTCTAAGGGTATAGAATTTCATTGATTTTCTTCTTATTGTATAAAAATGTATTAATTAGGATTTATAAATATATATATATATACATTTCCTGTAACAATCCTGCCATTAAATGCATCATTAGAAAGTATTTACACGAGAGCTATTCAATTGATATGCTCTCCTTTATTTAAAAGACTAATATAATATCTGTATAGAGAACTAAAGTGATTACATTCCTTGTTATTTAGATCACAAATAGTGTAATCAAGCATAAGTGTATAAACATAACATAATTAGTTTAAAGCACTATTAATATTGAGTAATTTACTCTGTCATTCCTTGTGGCATTTTATGTATTATATAATCATTAGTGTTACATATACACATAATATATAATATTAGTTTAAACATGAATATAAAATATTTAATATTTACTAAAATAAAATTGTATATTAACAAATATATCTTCATTATAGAGTCAATTTATTGCTCTAATAAATAAAAACATGCACAATTCATGTATGGATCTGCAATCAAGAACATCTAACTCTTATATAATTCTTTTCAAGTCCATGTTGTCGTCAATTAAAATGTTATACATTACTAAATAAATATAAATATTAGCAGAAAAGTATTACATACATGTGTATATTATAGTTGTTTTTTTTCTTAAATGTCCCTTTATTCAAATTTGACTATATTTAAATATACATCGATTTATATGACATTAATTGATGTGCCTAATGATGATGAGAAATAATTATTGTAAATAATTATAATTAATTTTATTTTTAATATTATACTTGTTTTAGTTTCTTCTAATTGTAATGATAGATCTATGCTATGTCTTTGCTGTTTTAAAATAAAATATAGCAATACAAAAAATTCATTCTATATGTGGTACACTGCATAATAGAAAATCTGTATAATTTATATTCAAGCTGTTTATAAATTAGTAATATAAATATATGTAATTATATTTTCAATAAAGTATAATAGCATGGACAAACTATCATTTTTAGTCGTTGTTATGTAATTATGTAAAAAAGTTAAAATAATACCAATAGACATTGTAATAAAAAATTTATGTAGGTACAACAATGTACATTACACGATATTTTTAAAACATTAAATGCATAATGTATACTTGCATGTGTAGCACAATATTACAACATTATATGAAACTTACAACATTTTATGATACTTATGTATTTGTTCTTAGATTCAAAATCTCTCAAGATTTGCACATTTTATATTTTGCACTTAATATCTAGTTAAAAAGATACTATCTTTAAAATGATAAATACAACAATATTTGACATATGGCAAAAAGCTAATGTTTTTTATATACATTATATATATATATATATATATATATATATATATATATATATATATATATATTATTTTATTTATACATACATATGTATTTATAGATATAATTATTTTTGAAATTAAAGCTTTTCCAAAAATAAAGATATTCATTTACGAATTTTGGGAAGAACTGCCACAACAAGAACTTTTTGCTGGTCGACTTTGTTCAGATTCATCTTCAACTACCACAACATTACGACGTGTACTGCTAGTCCTTTGCAAGCAAGACTTTTGTTCTACTTCATCAGCATGTTGTATCATTTTACGTGTTAAGTCTAAGAACATCTGTTCAATATTTTGATTTAGTTTAGCAGATGTATGAAAATGCATAGCACCAACTTGCTGGGCATATCTAGTAAAGAAAAATTAATTTTGTACATCTACTTACTTCTTGAAACAATTTAAAATTACTTACTCCTCTGCTTCTTCTATTGAAACATTTCGTTCCTTTTCAAGATCTACTTTATTGCCAGCAATTGCTAAAGAAATTTCACTGCCTAACATTTTTTTAAGTTCTTTTACCCAATTTTTAACCTACATATATAAGAATGATATTAGAAATAATTTGATAATTACAAAAATATTGATAAAACTTTCACGCATACCTTTTGAAAAGTATCTTCATCTGTAATATCGTAAACTAAAATGGCACCATTAGACATTCTATAATAAATTGGTCCTAATGCATGAAACTTTTCCTGTCCTGCAGTATCCCATATTGCTAAATTTACTCTTTTACCATTTATATTTAACTTCTTATTTAAAAAAGATGCCTAAACAAAGTATAACAAAACAAAGATTCAAATAAATTCTATGTAAAACATTTAAAATGACATTTAATTACAGCATATTTTAAATAATTTATATCAACTAATCTTTATATATAGAATAATGTTGAATAATTTATTTAGATAAATCATTATATATTTTCTTAATATAATAATATAAATTTTATACTATACATATAAAAAAAAAACAATTGTTATATAAGTAATACGATAGAAATATCAAGTTATATAAAAAAATAACAATTATATCACTTACTTGTACTGTAGTAACATGTTTGTCATTAAATTTATCTTCGACGTATCGTAATGCTACTGAAGTTTTGCCCACACATCCTTCACCAAGTAATACCACTTTGAAATTATATCCATTTGCAGTAGTACTAATCGAACTAGCCATAATTTGCAAATAACTAATACGGTTAAAAGATATTACACGTGCATATATACCGGAGATCAATGTGGATTAACATTCACGTTGAACCTATACATATGTTAGTTATATTAATATAAGATTACTTTAATGTGACATTTATTTCTTGTATAGTTAGACAGTTATTTCTTTACAACATCAAAATGAAAGCATCAGCTGTTTTTAACTACATACACGTACATATTACACTATATTACGTACAATGATAGAATAAACATATATATACACACATAGTAACATACTATACTCACACATTTGAAATCTGATATATGTCGCATGCGCTAGTCGAAAATTTGATAAATTTGTATGTCTAATATTGTAATTGTGTGACAGTATGGCAACTACATATATTATGTGTGCATGCGCATGTAAAAGAGGAGAGAGACAGACAAAACAAAAAATATATATCTTGTACGTATAATAAGTAAAGTTTGAAATAATGGAAAATATTATCACGATTTTTTATATTTATCTTGTATATTCAATTTTGATTGGATAATTGTTTTCGGTTCTATCATTCATTAATGATCATATTTTTCATCTATAATTCGTTGTAAATCAAGTTTTTTGTTATAAATAATAAATCAATGTAACTTAGGACAATTTTTTATATATTAAACCTTATCATATACAATTGAAATAAACATAAGTACATTGTTTTTCAATATAATAATTCTTCGATTGATTTGTTGCGATACATTATATAATACATATTAATTGAAATTGCATCGGCTATACTTCATATCGATAGATCATATAAATTAAAATTAGTATCTTACTAACATAAAAATTTAATTAAATCTTTGTTTTTCGTAAAACAATTTTTTAATCGAATTGAAAAGTATTTTAAATTTGCGCGGGAATAGAAGAGAGAAAACTATGGACTGAATCACAGTTTTCAACGTGTCCGATTTTTCAACCAATTGGAGGTATGCTCGGATAGCGATATATTAGGCGCGTTACCAATCACGAAGAGCGGTTTCTCTCGCTGCGCAAGTCGTAAAATCATTTTGGATGAAATTTCTCTCATCCCTCCACTAAATTAAACGACATTCAAAGTCGCGTCGTAGTGTGGCGCGGCCGTGCGGCGGAACGAGGCCACAGTCCGGAGAAACTGAGAGAAACCGCGGGATGTTAATGGTGGATGGATGGTGGAAGTTTCCTCCTCACTAGTCGTAAAAAAGGTAGAGAACCGATGAACTGTCATGTGAGTGGTAGGAAAAGAAAGAAAAGATTTTGATTGCGGTATGTGATGAATGCTAACCAGGTTTGCGCCACGAATGTATACACGCGTGTGTTTGACGTAATGAGAACGAGAAACGGCACGCGCGCTCTTGGTGTGGCCCTCGTATATTTAATTGGAAGTGCATGTTGCGGCCTTTCGTTTGACATGTACGTATATGCATCTTTCGAACATTCTCTTTTTTCCATTTTATCGTTCTTATTTCTTTGTTATTTTCGTTGGCCTCAAAATTTTTTTATTTGGTTCTCTACCTCTCTATCTCTTTCTTTCTATTTCTTCCTTTCTCTTCTCGAACATTTCTCCACACATACAGTTTGTCCAGCTTCCTTTTTATTGCGATTCGCTGCACGAAAATTATCGGCCCTATCTTTTGTTTTACATCTCAGTTTAGACTTTATACTGTTGCATTGAAATCTTTATCGAGATAAAGACTTGATCTCGATAAAGATTTCGTATCCCGGATAAAAAGAAACTTGGAGAATTATAAATACTGAGGCTTTCCTATCGGTCGACACTTTCGACGAGATCATCGAGTTCCATCGTGCTGCGGAATACATTCGTATGCATACGCCTTAAAATCAGATTGGAGAAAAGAAAGGACTGTCGGTATCGATTCTGACAAAGCTTTTCGCTTTATGCAAATATATATATATTGTATACTCATGTCTTCCTGGAGTGCATACGTTTGTTTATTTCTTGCTTTTCATAACCGAAACTGAATTTGTGAGTGGATCTGATACAAAGGTATACGATACGTCAATGTCACGGCCGATAACATGTCGTGAATTCATCGTATTCTGTCGTATAAGAACAATGTGTCGCGAAAATAAATTTGAAAAGCCGCCGATTGGTTATGGTTTGCGAATCATCGGACGATGTCGTTGACTCTCGTTCTTTGCCGTATCACGAATAATCTCGCCCGTCGTCAGCTGACGAGATATCGTTGACCATATCACTACGAGTTCGGCGCGATCTTCGTTCAGATGAACGCCGATATATTGCCGATAACAAACCATTTTGAAATATAGCATACGTTAGATGTATACTTTTTTTTGGTAAAGTATATATTATGTGATTTGTTTTTGCGAAAAGCTTCAAGACTCGATGATTTCAGGGCGTGCGATATTTTAAAACGCTTTGCTCTTTGTGGGGGACAAAGATAAAGAAACTGCCTCTACATATATTTTGTAACATAGTTAAGAAAGGGCGTTGTTTGGAACTATATCGATTCAATGATCAATATATTAAGCTTTCTTTTTTATATGAACAGGAAAATGAACTTAAAACTTATCAATGAAATTAAAATTACCCAACTTACGTATAGTTTCTATAATGGTCATTCTTGATAACCTAGATCTGGATAACATGCAATATGTGTAGCGGTTAAATTCGTATCTAGTATTTCTTGCGAACGCTTTTAAATAATATATGAAAAAAGAAATGTAGAAGATCCCTTTCATCTTCACCGAGATAGGAACACATCAAATGTACATAAATCTAGAACAGTAGTAACAATTTTTCTATAAAGAACCAAATTCTAGTCAGAAACTTTTTGCCTTTTTTTGACGTCACTTAATAATGCTCAGTTTATCCATAATACATTGAAATGATCTAACGTTTTTAATCTTTCCGTTTCACGCGGTATTATTTGTTCGCTCGTTCTCATTTTTTTTTTCTGTTGGGTTCATCACTCCGACCGTTTTAAACTCATTCGGTCTGTTAGAAAGCAGAATAATGATGGTATTCGTGAATGATAGCAATAATAATTGCAACGATGACTAGGTACGTCGCACTTGTTCAAGCTCGTTCGGATGTGGTGCACCGTTTACGCTTCGCGCCAGACGACAAAGAAATAAAAGATCTAATTGCACTAACCGTTGACGCATTTTCTCATTGAGTATTTGTCTCGGGTTTCTTTGTCATTCATCGACATTTTTAATTCGTGCGATTGTCGAATTTAAGAGATTGTTTTCGAAAAGTAGAGAACAAATAGAATATGTGATAATAACGTTAGATTTTCAAAGAAAATATATTAGGCATTTGAATAAAAGTACGTCTGTTTCATTAAACGTTTCTACTACTTATCTCTTGATTTTATTGAATTCGAATCGAGTTATATCCTCACATCCTTGCATTTCTTCTCGCTGAGTATTAAAAGACGTTACATAGATGCGTAGTTTCGAATAAACTTCGATCGTCTCTTTATAAATCGATTGGGATTCTTGAGCAGAGGCATCGAATTTAGATACATGATTGAAATGCATGCCGTGAATCGACAGTAGCATCCGTGGTGGTTTAGCATCGAAGTTACGAAGAGCCGACGTTTCGCGTGAGTAGATCTCTTTTCTTCGTCACGTATTTTTCGTGATTCTTTTTAACTATTTCTTATTTTTTTCCATTTAAAAAAAAACTGTTATATATACTTTTCTTTCTTCTATTTCTTCTTCTTCTTCTTCTTTTTCTTCTTCTTCTTCTTCTTATTATTATTGTTATTGTTATTGTTATTGTTATTATTATTATTATTATTATTATTATTATTGTTATTGTTATTGTTGTTGTTGTTGTTATTATTATTATTATTATTATTATTATTATTATTATTATTATTATTATTATTATTATTATTATTATTATTATTATTTTTATTATTATTATTTTTATTATTATTATTATTATTATTATTATTATTATTATTATTATTATTATTATTATTATTACTATTATTGTTATATTTCATGGCTGTTTTCTTGGGTGTCGAGGTGCCGGTCATTTACGGTATTTGTGGGGACGACTCCAATTCGTTAACAAAGAGTTCTTGTGAATGTGAGACATTAAATTATTTAATATCTACTATATAAATAAGCGGTTCAATAGAAAGTGGACTATTGTAATTAAAGTGGAAATTAATAAATAAATGATTAGGCTAATGTGGATATGGATTGGTCATAGTATTGTCATTCATATATATTTATATATACATACATATATATATATATATATATATATATATATATATATATAGTATTATCATTATTATTATATATTTATTATTATATAAAGGACTAATAAGTGTACAATGATTTTGTTTGAGATTATTTTTTATTCCATTGTGGATAGCGTTTTTTCTTTTCTTTTAGACAAAGTCTAGCTTTGGAAGGAATCGTTACTTGGATAGAAAAAAGACGCATTACGTCACGTCGAGGAAAACGTTTAGTGAATCATGTTCCGCATTTAATCGATCGTAGTAAAATGTTAGGAGAGAAATTCTTCGCAATAACCACGTGTCAGTGGGGAACGCTAGTTAAAGCATAGTTTAGAGTGCAGGAAGAGCCGAAGAGATTTCTCTACTATTTTTACTCTTTCAATTGTCTCGTATTTCTAGTCGCTATTAGAGTCACCGATTGGATTCGTTCTTTCTTTCGTACTAACTTCTGTATTTGTCTTCTTACTGTTCGTCGCCATTTTCTTTTCGTTCAACTGCGTTACCTTCTATAGATTGCCCGTCACTTATCGTTTCTTTCTTATTATTATTCTTCATTAACTTTTAATGGAAATTTTTGTTCTTGCGTTTTTGAACTGTTACTCTATGTGCATATCTATGTGTTTATAATATATGCACGCTTATACATACGTATCGTATAAAAAGAAATTAACACGTTACGAATGTTGCTTTATCATCATTAAAAGTAGTACTAAAATAGATTTTAAAAATATCCATTAACTTTCTATTCTTGAACGTGTAACAGGTTATTGTATTTCTTTTTACACATTCTTTATATATAAATCAAAAAGTAAATATAATTTTGTGCATTCTTGTAAAACTCTTTTCTTTTTTTCTTCTCCTATCCAATTCGATTAATCACGACTTCGAATAACGAATAGTGTTAAGATCTGAAGATAAGTGCAAAGATTGTCAACAATTGTCGATAAATTGTCGACAAATAAAACAGTAGGAATCTTTCATTTCCAAGGACATAATTTTGCAGCTGCGATTAATAGTTTTAATCTTATATGCATTAGACATTATTGCGATGGTCGTGTATATGTATATCGTTGGAATCGGCATTACGATAATTCGACCTCCATTTGTAATTCCCTGTTTTCCAATGTAAAATCACACGCAAATCCTTTCTTTTCCTCCATAACAATAAAATGTAATTTAGTTTCTAAACCCTTTATAAGGTTTTCTTTTTCTCTCTTCTCTCTTTCTCTCTTTCAGGCAAATTTATTTTGTTAATTCATGATTAGAAGAACTTAAACCCTTTCTCCCCACTGTCTCACACGGACGTCATTATTGTGAAGACAACGAGAACATGTTGGATCAAAGATCCTTGTAAATTCGATTTTCATTTTAAAGTAGATGATTTTCGAGATGCGTCATCCCGGTGTCTGACAATTCTACCTTCGGGTTTTAAACCGCGTGGGGTGGCGATATGCCTAATTCGAACGATGCAGCAATAGCAGAAACGGCAACCTCTCACTTTCTTCCTATCGTTTGCGTTGCTAAGGAGACTCGATTGAAAATCGAATCGACTTTCTGAACACCAATAGCGATTTCGAATTTGTCTCTCTCTCTCTCTCTCTCTCTCTCTCTCTCTCTCTCTCTTTCTCTCTCTCTCTCTCTCTCTCTCTCTCTTTTTCTCTATCTCTCTCTATCTGTCTGTCTGTCTGTCTCTTTCTATCTCTATCTCGCAATACATCGAGCGTATTTTTAGCGTAGGTCTTCGCGTTAGGGCTATGACGAATCCTTCCATAGTTAGAACTGTCACACGTTGGTAAGCGAAGAAATCGTCTTTAAGTGTAATTCAAGGCGCTTTAGAAAACTAATTCAGGTGGTCTCTATTTTTCTCTTTTTTTCTTTCTCTTTATCAAATGTTTCGGCTAAAAAATTGCACTTCCTAGACGATAATGTCTCGATAAAGAAAGCATGAGTTAATCACGAGACATTTGATCGCTCGTTTGTGTGGCCATATAATGACGAGTCTTCGTAGTCTCTTTTGAACTTTCGTTTTCGTTAGGATCTCAAGGTTAGTAATGTTTTTAAAAAGCTACATTTTCTATTTTTTTTTTCTCTTTCTGTACATGATAAAACGCATCTTGTCTCTATAAGATGATCCTTTGTTAAGTTCTTTCTATCTCGATGCAATAT